GGTGCCGGTAACCGATAAGCGTCAGCCTGTCGGTTGCCCGGTTACACTCTTACAGGAGCCTGACGATTTGGGGCACTGGGGTTTGGCCGCTGCAGTGGCAGAGCTGGGTGAGGTGCCCAGGGCTGGCATCGGGGGGCTGGGCGTGGGAGAGATGCTCCAGGACTGAGATGCACTGGTGCGGTGCCGGTGCCGGTAACCGATAAGCGTCAGCCTGTCGGTTGCCCGGTTACACTCTTACAGGAGCCTGACGATTTGGGGCACTGGGGTTTGGCCGCTGCAGTGGCAGAGCTGGGTGAGGTGCCCAGGGCTGGCATCGGGGGGCTGGGCGTGGGAGAGATGCTCCAGGACTGAGATGCACTGGTGCGGTGCCGGAGGTCGCTGGCGCGGTGCCGGAGGTCGCTGGCGCGGTGCCGGAGGTCGCTGGCGCGCCAGCAGAGCCATGCGGAGTTCCCAGGGGCACAAGCAGTCACTGCAATAGCAGGCGGTGCTGTAAATCACGAGGGTGCGGTGGTAGAGCAGCAGCCAGGGGTGCAGGGCAGCAGCAGAGCTGGGCAGGGACAGCTCAGAAAGCCCCAAAACCTTTGCCTAGAAATTCAAGAGCCGGGCGGGTTGCTCCTGCCCGACGTGTTAAATCCGTCTGGCCAGAGATGCGGCTGCCACCCCAGCCAGGTGCAGCACGTGGCTGAGCGACAAGCCCCAGGCGGCAGGAGGGGCCAGGTCCGCAACGCAGGCCGGGGAGACAGAACACACCGAGATGCGCCTGGGCCCAGGGAGCAGACAGGGCGGGAGAGCAGGAGGACCAGTGGGGAAGCTCTGGGCAGGGAAGGGAGCGGCTCCCCTTCTCCAGCAGGCTCCCTGCGCCCAGCCAGAGTTCAAAGTGTCTCCAGGGAGCCGAGTCAGCAGGGCTTCCCCTTTATCGCGGGGCGAGTGACTCAGCAGGATTCCAGCACCCGGCTCAGCACATTCCCGTCAGCAGATCCGGCTGGGGGCAGCCTAGGACTCCCCTCCCCCCGCTCCGACCTTTGCTTCCAGCTGCGTAATGGGCGACATGCCCTGCCCAGTAGCTGCTCAGCAGCCTAGCAGCTGGGGCGCTCACTGGCTGCCGCGCTACACAGCCTTTTGCCCAGGCAGTCCGTCAGCCCAAGCCACCAACGCGGCCCTGGACACGGCTCAGTGCCAACGGCTGCAGCTGCACAAAGCAGGCAATCCTGGGACGGGGCAGGGACTCTCCCAGGAAGCAGGGACAGAGATGGGGGGCCAGGGGGACTATTGCTGTGACAGGGTGGCCAGAAGGGCAGATGCCAGCCTGGAAGCATCCCCAGGGGAATCCCGAGCAGGAGGGGGGGGCTCTTTTATCTCGGCCCTCGGCCCTGGGACACCCACATCTGGATCTGGGGCCAAGGAGACTGAGCGGTTGCCAGGGTCAGAGAACAAGCAAAGGAGGAGACAGCGAGTCGAGGGGCTCAATCGATTTAGCTTACGAGAAGGTGACAGGGCTGGATCCCGGCCCGGGCACAGACGTTTGAACATGGGCTCACCCGTCTCGCAAGCAGGGCCCAGTGGCAGGACGTGAGGCAAAGCAGGCTGGAAATATGGGAACATCTTTAACGACGAGGGTAATTAGCCACGGGGCCAGTTTGCTGAGGCTGCCTGGACTCCCCAGCAGCAGCCGCTGCTCACGCAAGACTGGCTCTTCCCCCAAAGGACGGCCCTAGAAGTTAGAGGGAGTCTCGCACGAGCAGGCAGGCAGACTGTACTCGCACCATCGCCCCTGGGGGCGGCACGACAGGACCAGCACGAGCCCAGGCAGGAGTGGGCAGCCAGGGGCAGAGGCAGCTCATGGAGGAGGAGCTCCGCACACCTGCTCCCAACCTCTCCTCCGTCCCCCCACCCGCCCTGCTGAAACGACTCTGGGAAAAGCAAAGCGCAGGGGAGAAGAAAGAGGGACAGGAGAGCCAGCTGCTCTGCTGCGGGCAGCTGGGCTAACAGCCCCACACACAGCCAGGGCCAGCCCCTTGGGGTTAAACAGGCGCCGGCCTTGGTGTTCTACCTGGGTTCAATCAAGGCGGGTCCCCAGCAGACGCTGCAGCAGAGGGGAAAGCACGAGGCGCGGAGGGTTACAGGGACTGGCAACGCAAAGCTCTCAGCTGTCTGAGTCTGGCAGGACTCAGCGAGGCCCCAGCTACCGGAGCCCCAGGACTACATGACAGTGGCAGCCAAGTACACTGCTAGCCCTGGCTCCTGGAGAAAGGGTTGGAAAAGGGACCTCAGTTGGGGCTGGCCGGACGCAGTCAGGCGGCAGCAGCGACCACAGCAGCAAAGCGGGTCCAGGGCTGCGCTCCGCGTACGCCAGAAAAGGGGAAGTTTGAAAGGGCTGGTGCAGTCAGGAACCCGATCCCGTGCTGGCTTCGTTTCCATGCGGGTGGGTAAACGCAGCATTTCCATCCCGCCAAGCAGCATCTCCAGGCCGCAGCAAGGCAACGGGCGATCGTGAGCTTCCCAAGAACAAGACCGAAAAGCCTCCATTCCGAGCTGGCTTGGACAAAGGGGCCAGGCAGCGGGGCTGGGCCAGGCCTGGCTAAGGGGATGTGCCACAGCCTGGTCAGAGCAAACCTCCTGCAAAGCCAGAGCTCCACAGCAGGGCCTTGTGTGGCCTGTTGATCCTCAGAGCCGGGGCCACGAGGGTCTGGCAGAGCCGGCTGCTCATGCAGGGCTCTCCACTGCCTCGGAGGGTGCTGGCCGGGCGCCCTGCGAGGGGCCAGTGGCAGCAAAAGTACAGCCCGAATGCTGGCCCAGCAGAACCCGGGCAGCCATGGCAAGGGGTGGTGCTGCACTTGGTGCACTGGGACCCAGCTCAGGCCAGAGCGCAGGGCACCTGGTGCCGCTTTGAAGATCCAGGCTCAGTTCTCGGGCACAGTGCTGCTGCTCTGCACACCCGGGCTTCGTGGGGCTTTGCAGACAGGCCTGCGAGGGCCACACGTGCCAAGGGATGGAGGGTGCAGCACATCCAGAATGGGCAGCGGCTGGGGAGGGGGGTCCTGCAGAAAGGGGTCTAGGGGTCCTAGAGGACCACAAGCTAAATACCAGCCACAGTGTGATGCTGTTGCAAAAAAAAGCAAATGTGATTCTGGGCAGCATTCACAGGAGCAAGACACGAGGAGTCGTCCTTCCGCTCTGCTCTGCGCTGGGCAGGTCTCAGCTGGAGGACTGTGTCCAGTTCTGGGCCCCGCATTCCAGGAAAGATGTGGAGAAACTGGAGAGGGTGCAGAGAAGAGCAACGAGAATGATTCAAGGTCTAGAGAACAGGAGCTAGGAGGGGAGGCTGAAGGAATTGGGCTCGTTTAGTTTGGAAAGGAGAAGACAGAGGGGACAGGAGAGCGGTTTTCAGGCATCTAAAAGGGTGTCACAAGAAAGAGGGAGAAAAATTGGTCTGTCCTCAGAAGCTAAGGAGGACAAGACGCAAGGGGCTTAAACTGCAGCAAGGGAGGTTGAGGTTGGGCATCAGGAAAAACTTCCTGCCAGTCAGGCTGGTGAAACACTGGAATCAATTGCCCAGGGAGGTTGTGGAATCCCCATCTCTGGGGATATTTAAGAGCAGGTTAGATAAACATCTGTCAGGAATGGTAAATGGTGCAGGGTCCTGCCATGAGGGCAGGGACTGGACTCGACCTCTCGAGGGCCCTTCCAGCCCTAGTGTTCTCTAATTGTATCCATTCCACCCCCAAGGTACCAACCCAGCCCCGGCACCAGGGTTCCCTGCCAGCTGGGCACCCGGGCGGCCACTAAGAGATTCCAATGCCATCCAGCTGATTAGAAGAGCGCCGCTGCTAACGTGTGTTCCTGTTGGTGGTGCACATTGGCACACACAATAAAGTTTCCTCTGCACATGGAACACTGCCCAGCACCCCACTGGGAGCAAGGCAGAGCAATCAGATGATCAAGCTCTGGAGTGTCTGAATCCAGCCCCCATCTGTAAAGTGGGCTGGCGAGAGGAGACTCCTTGGAAAGGCCCAGCCACCCTCCCCCCCCAGGGCACACGAGTCCTGGGGGAGGAGAGGCACAAGCAGCCCCAGCATAGCAAAGGAGGCCCCCACCGCTAGGCTATCAACCATGAACTTCCCAGCACTTCGATCATTCACCTTGTCCAAAGATCAGCTGGAGCCGCTCTGCTCCCTGCATGCCCGAAAGGGGATGGAGCCACCTGCCTCCGCGTGGTCAGCTTTGGCTGGAAGCCAGGACTCCCATGGGAAACCCAGGCTGCCTAGCTCCCCGGGGCTCTCGGGCTGGTACAGCGACCCAAGGAACAGCGAGCGACCGCCTGGCTCCATCACAGCCGCTCCTCCCAGAATCCATCCACCACCCGGGAGGGAGGGCAAGGCCAGAGCCCCAGTGCCAGCCCCAAGAGGGCCCGGGGACCCGCCCAGCCTCACTAGCTCAGTTAAGGGCACAGGCTGTCTTCCCCCTCCCAAGCCGTAAGCAAGCCATTCACAACAGCACAACCCAGCTACTCTCCCCTGGGCCTGCTAGCTGTGCACAGAGACAGCTCAAGCTCCCCAGCTGGTTACTGATCACCAGGGCTCCTTGGGGGCACAGGCCCCTTCCAATGTGGTACCTGCAGCCAGGGGGCTTTGACGGACTGGGAGAGGCTCTGTGTCTCAATGGGCCGAGAGGAGGGAAGAGCACCCGGCTGCAGTGCCCACCCACAGCTGGAGAGAGAAAAGGAGGCAGCAAGGAGCCAGGGAAGCCCTGGAGACCCCACCCATGTGCCCAGCACAGTAAAGGGTTAAGCAGCAGGGCCAGGGGCCGGGGACCCTCCTCCTTCGCCACCCGTCCGGAGGGCTGGGACACAGCACGGAGCCCGCGGCGACTATTCAGCGCACGTTCCACACAAAAAGCATCATAAGGAGGCTGAACCTGCCCATTATGAATTTGTGAGAGCAGAACATTTCATTTCCTGTTTCAAAATGGCTTTTCATTGCAATTTGCTCCTACCCAGAAAGGCCCAAACCGGGTTCAAAACGCCACTTGGGAGCTTGGATTTCCTCAAGCAAAGCGTCCTGCTCAGCTCCAACGGATTTTCAGAATTCCGGTTCACAGGAATACGCGTATTTCAACGTCCCTCCTGGGCTCAGAAACAGCTGGCTCCTTGCAGGCTCTGGGCCAAGGCCTGTCCCAAATGCCTTGACGCACCAGGAGACCTTTAGGAAAACAGAGCAGCCCCGTGCCCCCCAGCTCCCCACCAGCCCCACTGCTTATGCCTCGCTCCCTGCATCCCCATATGGCATCTGCGGCCAGGGCACCAAGAGGAAACCCGGGGGCGCAGACTCCGAGCGGGTCCAGTCGCAGCGCCACTGCAGTCTGAGGCCACGGCACCCCCGTGGAGCCGGCTGTGGGATCCGGGGCAGTGAGCCGGGGGCAGGAACCGTGAAGAGTGACACACCAAACCCACCCTCCAGCCAGAGACTCCAGGGCTCTGGCGGAAAGCTCACTGACTCACTCAGGGGGGAGGGGATGGCTTATTGCACAACAGGGTGGGTTAAGGATAAAGTTTCAGTCTGGTCTCCAGTTTCCTCCCTGCTTCTGTGAGTTTAAAACCAGAAGCCTCATTGCTCAAGTGTGCAGCTGGCGAGTGACCCCCCTCCCCGGGCACTGCTGGGCCAAACAGGCGAGCGCCTCACGGGATAGACTCATGGCTCCATGGAGTGCACAGGCTTCCCTATTGCACAACAGGGTGGGTTAAGGATAAAGTTTCAGTCTGGTCTCCAGTTTCCTCCCTGCTTCTGTGAGTTTAAAACCAGAAGCCTCATTGCTCAAGTGTGCAGCTGGCGAGTGACCCCCCTCCCCGGGCACTGCTGGGCCAAACAGGCGAGCGCCTCACGGGATAGACTCATGGCTCCATGGAGTGCACAGGCTTCCCCGACTGATCTGCTCTGCAGCAACAGCAGCTCATGTGACAGGCAGCTCCAGTTCAGACCAGCTGCACTTTGCAGCAAAAACAAGAAAGAGCCTCGTCTTTGCCTGGAGCTGCAGCCCCCTCCTCCCGCTCGGCAACCCCAAAACGGCAAATCCTCTTCCAAGCCAGCTTGACATGCCCCTCCCGCTGCCTGCCCTCCAGGAGAGGAGAGGAGAGGAGAGCCGCCCACGAAACGCTCAGCAAGAAACAGAACAGGGCCATTCCCGACAGATTCGGGGCCAGCTGCCCCCCAACCCCACTCCGAGACCGAGGGCCAGTGAATGCCACCTCCCTCCATGGCACCTGTCCCTCTCCAGAACTGATCAACGCTGCCCCCACATCAGCCAGGCAGGTAACATGGGAGTAACACAGAGCACCACCCCCCCACTCCCAGCCACGGCACCCCTGCCTCTAACCCTGATGCCACCCACTCTAGTTTCACACCACTCTAATGCTGCTGTCTTCACGGGAGTCGCTCCGGATTCACACGAGAGACGGGCCCTGGGCTCTGCCGGGGCTGGGATCCAAGCAAAGTGGAGCGCTAACAGCTGATCTCTTTGGAGCTGTGCAGAGCAGTGGCTGCCATAGCCAGCCTCAACCCTTGTGTGTGGCTCTCAGAAAAGGCTGCAAGGCTGCGCGGGGCGAGAACAAGAACCGAGAGATGCTGCAGTAAACACCTTCCAGCATGGATCTCAGAGCACACCAGGAGTGGGACCCTTCCCCCCTGGTGCAGATGGAGAAACGGAGTGGTGCAGAGCCACTGTGAGCCCCAGGGCCAGGCTCTAGTTGGCCCTGCCTGGCCAGTGCCATGCCACACCTGTACCCCAAACCGCTCGGCACGTCAGTTCCGCCCAGGGAAGGCAGGAGCTAGCGACTCAGAACTAGACATCTAAGGGCAGGTGCCCACCGCTGAGGGCTGCTTGGGCTGGCACTGTGATAAATAGCCAGGCACTGACAGTGTTGGCCTCGGTGCATTGCAAAGCCAGCCCCCAGCAGCACCAGCATCCCAGCCCGCAGGCACCAGCGGCGTTAACGAGCACCAGAAGCGCCACAGGGAGCTGTTAGCGTCCCCCTGGGGCCACCTTTGCAGGCAGGAAGCTCCCGGGGACCTTAGCCTGGGGGAAGGGCCGAGCTCTGCACGCAGCAGGCAATGGGGGGCACATGCCACAGGGCTCCTCTGCTGGGCCCCTCTCCCAGCACTGGGGGGCACAGCCTGCCCTGAGCCGGAGGCCGAGCTCAGCATGCGCCCTCCAGCAGGGAGGGGCCCAAAGGTGCTGTGGGGGGTGCCCCCCAGTCTGTGTCCAAAACAAGCTTTGCAACTGCCCCTTCCCTGGGCAGGGGCTTCAGCATTGGGCGGGGGGGGC